TGTTCTGAATTCCCCCTGTCTATGGATTTTTTAAAAATTAGAGCTAAAAATGAGCCTTTCAACCTGTATACCCCATCAACTTATACCCCAAAAAGTACGGTACTTGAAAATATGTCTAGAACAATAACTGAAAAATAAAATACCCAAGCTTTCAAGAAAGTGTAGTGTTATACAATGTAGTTTTGTTTTATAACTCAGGTATGTCAGGTATTCCAGTGAAATATTAGTCAGACTTTCTCTGTCATACAAATTAAATCCAACATTTTTTAAAGAATTAATCATGCTCAAAAAATTTAATTTGGAACCAGGTATTCTCCATACATCTATAAATCTGAAACTCATACTGGTATTTCTTAAACTTGTTCTTTACATGTGGCTTTTATGAAATATGTTAATATAGCATTGATTAAATACTCATGACGGTGTATGATTATGTTTCCAATTACATATACATGTTTTGACGTCAAGGTATGATAAGGAAATGACAAATAGAGGAGAAACTAACTGCGGAAGTGTTAATTATAAGAACAAACAATTTAATTGGGTAATCAGTATTCAATTAACACTATCTGAAACTGTATATTACTCCTGAGTGTGTAAATATACAAAAATATCTGGACTTTCCAACATAGGTACAGGCATTTTTTTTAAAAAGTCAGAAAATGGAATACTGGTACAGTAAAATTTGTTTAGTACAAACACGGATATTGTGAATTTCCGGATTTAGAAGTAACCTTGGATCCTCAGTTATATTAATCTAATAAATTCCTTATATCGATATAATGAATTACAGATATAGCGAAGTAATTTCTTAGGTTCCAGTCATACTTAGGTTCCAGTCACTTCGTTATGACAAAGTTTTGCTATAGCACATTTCTAATAGCAGTATTTTTTTTTAGCTCAACTGAGCTGAAAGCTCAAGTGAGCGTTTCTGATCACCCATTGTGCATATTCTGCCCTTCTGTCTGTAAACTTTTCACAGTTTCAACTTCTCAAGAGCCACTGGGCCAAATTTAACTAAACTTCGTTAACACATCTTTGGGTGAAGGGGAGTTTAAACTGTAAAAATGAAGGGCCAAGTCCCCTTACAAGGGGAGATAATCAGAAAAGACAAAAATAGGGTGGGGTCTTTAAAAAATCTTCTCAAGAACCATTTTGTTCATATCATGACCAGGGGAAGGGAGGGGCCACATTGGAGGATGGAGTAGTATAACCCCCCCCTAAACTTTTCAATACTTAACTGATTTGTGTTCAATACTGAACTGATTTGTGCTTTACCTAGCCATTGAGCTCAGGTAAGCGATGTGACCCATGGGCCTCTTGTACAATGACCATGAGTAGTGTTTAGCATCAAACAACTGCAAATGTTTATGAACACTTGGATAATAGAAAATGAATTTTGTACTTCACTGGCTGGTTTCAGCAGTGTTGGAAATTTACTGAAACAAAAATCGGTCATTTTAAAAATGGACACTTTTCTTAAGAAACTGAGAAAAATATATGCATCATGTGACTTAAGGATGATGTTTACTCAGGTTTCAGAGGACAGAAAGGAAATTTTATACAAATAAAAATGAATTATAGTTGAATTTTCAATGTCTTAATTTGTTTAATTAAAAACATGAGAAATGTTGGTGATTGGATGTCAGTTATTATGATGATCTGTTTATAATAATACTGGTAGTTGCTTTTCAGTAGGAGTATCTTAATTAATATTTTAATGCTGCTATTCACAAATAAGATGTTTAGTCATAATTAATATATTATTTGTTTATAGCTTGTATTAATTTATTTTGAATGAATAAGTTGTACAGTGTATTATTTTAATTATTAGATAATTGTTGATTCATATGTATTTAAAATTGATCATGAAATAAACCCACTACGTGAATATGAAATTATGGATATCGATTAGATTTAGAATATCATTCAAAATTCTGAAATTTAAGTATAACTGTTCAGTGGGTCAAGCACTAGAATATTTAACTGAACTTTTGACAAAACAAAGTTTAAATAAAAAATTATGCTCTTCTTGAAATTCCGAAAGTTGAATGTAGTCTGATTCAATTTGTTCAATAAAAGGAAAACTTTCCTTGACTGAAGTTTTAGTACCATCGGACCAAAGTTGTGGAATGTTTACTGCCCTAGTATATTAAACAATTAAAATCAATTGATATTTTCAAAAACAACTTAAAAACTTACTTCTTCAGGGACTTTAATCAAAGAAATCAGTTTTAGTGAATATGTACCTCTACTGAACTAAAACTCCTGAAACACAAAAAATTACCTGATTGTCCATTTGCCGTGTGTTGTGACATGTTGTATGTAAACAGTTTCAGCTAATCATGAATTCTGGATTAGAATCACTTGGCAAAGAATGGGTGGACTTTAAACGCCCTATTTTGAATCTTTTTGAAAGTAAAAGAAATGAATCCAAAATATTTTACAAGCAATAGAAAGAGCTACATATACTTGGTTAAACCATATACATGTAAGTGGAAATTTTAGCGAGACACAAATTTAGCAATTGTACTTAACAAGAGGCCCAAGGACCTTGAATCGCTCTTCTGATAAATTGTACAATCTATCACTTCTATTAGAAGCCTCCAACTCTATTAGTATCATAAGACCCAAAATGCATCAACTTACAAAGTTTGATAATATTTAGCCAGTTAAGACTGAAGATATTATAATATAATTATAAAATACCATAAGTAGGTCACAGTGACCTACTTTTTGATTGAAATTTTCTGAGGACTCAAGATACATTAATTGAGAAAGACTGATGATTCTAATTAGATAAGTACCTGAGATATTCAAAAGTAGGTCATCATTCTCTGAAAACCCAAGATGCATCATCTGACAAAGATTGACGATTCTAAGCCAATTAGTACCAGAGATAAATAAATATAGCCATCAAATGTCAAAAGTTGGTCACGGTGACCTACTTTTGGTCGACATTATCCAAAAACCCAAGATGCCTAAACTGACAAAATTTTATGATTCTAAGCCATTAAGTACCTGAGATATTCAAAAGTAGGTCACCATGACCTACTTCTTGTTGGACATTGAATGAAACCGTAAGATGCCTCAACTGACAAAGTTTGATGATTCCGAGCCAATAAGAACCAGATATCATTAAATATAGCCATAGAATGTCAAAAGTAGGTCACTGTGACCTACTTTTTGGTTGACATTCTCCAAAAACCCAAGGTGCCTAAACTGACAAAGTTTGATGATTCTAAGGTAATACATACCTGAGATATTCAAAATTAGGTCACCGTGACCTACCTTTTGGTCGACATTCTTCGAAAACCCAAGATGCCTCAACTGAGAAAGTTTGATGATTCTTAGCCAATAAGCGCCTGAGATACTTAAATATAGCCATAAAATGTCAAAAGTAGGTCACTGTGACCTACTTTTTGGTCTACAATCTCCGAAAACCCAAGATGCATCAACTGACAAAGTTTGATGATTTTAGGTTAATAAGTACCAGAGATTCTTAATTATAGCCACAAAATGTCAAAGTAGGTCACCATGACCTACTTTTTGGTCGTCACTCTCCGAAAACCCAAGATGCATCAACTCACAAAGTTTGATGATTCTAAGCCAATAAGTACGAGATATATTAAAATAAAGCCATAAAATGTCAAAAGTAGGTCACCATGACCTACTTTTTGGTTGTCACTCTCCGAAAACCCAAGATGCATCAACTCACAAAGTTTGATGATTCTAAGCCAATAAGTACCGGAGATACTTAAATAAAGCCATAAAATGTCAAAAGTAGGTCACCATGACCTACCTTTTGGTCATCACTCTCCGAAAACCAAATATGCATCCACTCACAAAGTTTGATGATTTTAAGCCAATAAATACCTAAGATACTTAAATATAGCCATAAAATGTTGAGTAGGTCATCGTGACCTACATTTTGGTCGACATTTTTCAAAGACCCAAGATGCATGTACTGACCAACTTTGATGATCGTAGGTCTGAAGGTAATCAAAATATGCGTCTTAAACAATTTGAAAACAAATGTCGGCAAAATTCAAAAAGTAGGTCAGAGTGACCTACTTTTTCATAAATATGTTTTAAGGTCTCAAGATGCATCAAAGTACAAGATTTGATGATTCTAAACCTCCCAGTGTCTGAAATAATGGGATTTAATGTTTTTAAAAGGATAAGTCATAAAGTTCAAAAAAGTAGGTCACGGTGACCTACTTTTAAGTTGACATTGTTTGAGGACCCAAGATGCATCAACTGACAAAGTTTGATGATCATAGGCCTTAAAGTGTCCAAAATATGCCTTCAAATCAATTTGAAAACAAATCCCCACAAAATTTAAAAAGTAGGTCACCGTGACCTACTTTTGAGCTAACATGATGTGAAGTCGTAAGGTGCATCAACTTACACAATTTGATGATCCTAGTCCTTATAGTAAGCAAAATATACACGTTTTTATTAATTGTAAATTTAGGTCAACTTTGAAGTGACCTTGAGACCACGCCCTTTGCCCCAGGGTAATTCCCCCTGCAAATTTTAATCTTCGACATATCCTGATCCTTGTATGTAAGTTTGGTGAAAATCTGCCTGGTGGTTATGGAGAAGAAGATTTTTTAGCAACCAGTACTTTTGGTTTTGTTTTCCTGATTATCTACCCTTGTTTAAGGGTCCCAACCCTTATTTTAGTATAAATGGTAGCCCTTGGGCCAAGGATACCCTGTGACAAATTTGGTACTGATTGGCCAAGGGGTTCTTGAGTTATGGCCCATATTCTAAAAAGTTTACGCACACCGCACAAATGGCTATAGCATTAGCTCTTTGAGCCTTTGGCTCAGAAGAGCTAAAAATTGATACTTTATTTTTAGTGAGAAGTGATTTGAGTGATTTTTAAATGCTATCAGAAGAAGCTATTACAACTTAAAAGCAATTAATTTTTAGCAATATTCGGTTTTAGTGCTCACAGTACCCTGGCTAATAATGCCAGAATTAAATCCTTGTTAAAAATTCTGCTTATACGGTATTAGGTATTACATTTGTACAAAAGCAATGCTTTGTTGTCATGAATCAAAACAGCAGCAACGGTACATATTTCCTATCATAAATACATGTTATTTTGTTTATTTCACAGGCCTTGTTGGTAATTGTTTTATACACCATACTAAGGAACCCCTGTGTACAAGAGTGCCTTGGACCACAAAAGCGAGCCTACTCCATGTCTACTGAAAATCTACAGCAGAATGGTAGCCTACCAACAGATTTCCATCATCATACCTTTACAACAGAGATAGGCAGCCTGAAGGGCTCTACTGCCTCTGTAGTTAATGAGGTATGTACAACAGAAATAGGCAGCCTTAAGAATTCTACTGCCCCTGTAGTTAAGAAGTATGTACAACAGAAATAGGCAGTCTTAATAGTTCTATTGCCTCTATAGTTAATTACAACAGAGATAGGCAGCCTTAAGGATTCTAATGCCTCTTTAGTTAATGAGATATGTGCTACAGATATAGGCAGTCTTACTTGTTCTTCTACCTCTGTAGTTAATGAGGTACATGTACAACAGAGAGTCTTATTAGGGCTATACACCTCTAGTAAATTAGAAAAACTAAGTGCACCTATTAAAACTCTTTTAGAACAAAAATGGATATAGCGAATTGTGGATATAGCAAAGTTTTTCAGAGCAATGTACATATTGCGAATTTGCTATTATATAAATATAGCCCTTTTTTGAGATCGATCCATATATATAGATATATTGACTTCACAGAAAAGCGCATCAACTGAGCATGAAGTAAAAATAATGTATTTAAATACACAAATTCAGACCAGCGCGCAGTCACAGTATTACAAAAGCTATTCTTCCAAGAAATACATGAGTAAATTGTCAAATTCCTACTTTTAATAGTTTTACAGATATTAAGTGTGGCAGACAGATGACAAACAGACAGACATCAGACAAAGTGATCCCTGTTTGTTGCTTTGCTCTGCAGGCAACAAAAATATAACCTTAACACTTGGCTTTTTAGCTCACCTGAGCCAAAGGCTCAAGTGAGCTTTTCTGATCAAAATTTGTCCGTTGTCTGTCGTTGTCGTTAGCATCGTTGTCGTTGTCGTTGTTGTAAACTTTTCACATTTTCATCTTCTTCTCAAGAACCACTGGGCCAATTTCAACCAAACTTGCTACAAAATATCCATGGGTAAAGGGGATTCAAGTTTGTTCAAATGAAGGGCCATGCCCTTTTCCAAGGGGAGATAATTATGAATTAGAGAAAAATTAATGGCATTTTTAAAAAATCTTCTTCTCAAGAACCACTGGGCCAGGAAAGATGAAACTCATGTGGAATCATCCTCAGGTAGTGTAGATTCAAGTTTGTTCAAATCATGACCCCCCAGGGGTAGGGTGGGGTCAAAATGGCCGATCAAAGTTTTAAATAGGAATATATAGGAAAAATCTTTAAAAATCTTCTTCTCAAGAACAACTGGACCAGGAAAGATGAAACTCATTTGGAATCATCTTTAGGTAGTGTAGATTCAAGTTTGTTCAAATCATGACCCCCAGGGGTAGGATGGGGCCAAAATGGCCGAATAAAGTTTTACATATGAATATACCGTAAAAATCTTTAAAAATTTTCTTCTCATGAACCACTGGACCAGGAAAGATGAAACTCATGTGGAATCATGTTTAGGTAGTGTAGATTCATGTTTGTTCAAATCATGACCCCCTGGGGTAGGGTGGGGCCAAAATGGCCGATCAAAGTTTAACATAGGAATATATAGGAAAAATCTTTAAAAATCTTCTTCTCAAGAACCACTGGACCAGGAAAGATGAAACTCATGGAATCATCCTCAGGTAGTGTAGATTCAATTTTGTTCAAATCATGACCCCCGGGGGTAGGGTGGGGCTAAAATGGCCAATCAAAGTTTTAAATAGGAATATATAGGAAAAATCTTCTTCTCAAGAACCATTGAGACAGGAAAGATGAAACTAATGTGGAATCATCCTCAGATAGTGTAGATTCAAGCTTGTTCAAATCATGACCCCCGGGGGTAGGGTGGGGCAAAATGGCCGATAAAAGTTTTACATAGGAATATCTAGGGAAACCTTTTAAAATCTTGTTTTCAAGTACTTTAAAGCCATGCTTAGTGATATTTATAGGGAATCATCCTCAGGTAGTGTAGATTAAAGTTTGTTCAAATCATGACCCCCTGGGGGGTTAAAATTAAAGCCCCCCCCCCCCCCCCCCTCAGCAAACTTTCAGTTCTGATCTGATGTGTGATTTTTCGTAGCCTATTGCTCAGGTGAGCGATGTGGCCCCTGGGCCTCTTGTTAATTAATGAGATAAATATACAGTCAAACCTTTTTACATTCTTATGGGACTAAGAAAAATTTTTGAGATACCCAAGGATTCAAGATATCAGGGGAAAAATCCTGTATTTGGGATTTCTATATCACTTCAACATATACGTGGTGTTCAAGATTTCAGTGTTTGAGATACTTCAGTTCAAATGAAACTAAAAAAAAAAAGGCAATAAGCTTCTGTTGATGAAGTCCATGTACAACTGTATAACTGGAAAAAAATGGCCTGAAAGGTCCTGCTGGCTTTTGTAGTTAATGAAATGGATACCGGTATATGTCAACTAAAAAAAAACCAAGGAAATTTTCTCTATTGGTGCTAATTAGGAATAATGTAGATGACGAGAAAAATATTAAAAACTAGCTGCAGGATGTCTTTGTGGATTGAGTTAGGAAACGTACATACTGTAAATGCTCAAATGTTCCTGGGGGATTAAACTTTATTTCGTTGTTAACAATTATCACCGAAATTAAATCCCACACAAAATTTTTTGTGACTTTATATTGAATAGGGTGATACCTTCAAAAAAATGAAATTAAATGCCCTCGAAACTATTTAAACTGACCAATCAATGAAATTTTATCCCCCGAATATTAGTGTATCTACAGTATCTCAATTTCATTGATTTAATACATCAAACTGAAATTAAAATGAATTTTAAGCCTTACATTTTGTATCTTTCCAGGAGTGGGAGAGAGATTCTACATTACCATCTAAATCTACCACAATGAAAGTGAAAAGAACACTGCCCTCTAGTGGCAATATTTATGTGACACCGCCAGTGTTGGTCCGTGACGGAACAGATGATTTCCAGGACCTCCTACATGCATTAAAAACACAGGAAAGCTCTAGTGATGCAGACAGTTTGGAGTCAGAAAAGATCTCCGAAATCTCAAGCAAAGTAGACCGATATGAAATGCGAAGGATATCAATAGCAGATACTCATTTATGATAAAAGACATATAACATGATAATCAAAAGATGAACATATGATGGTCTATTTTTCAATGCATGTTCATCAAGAAATCATTGATCCCAGTGATTTATAAAATATATAGATATGTGTATGCTGTTAGATGTTGTATATTTAATTTTTAAATGCGTACTTTACATTTAATTATTTTATTTTGTGTATTTAAATTGAATTTTGATCTCAATGTTAATTATGTAAAACATACCAAATCATGAAGTTTTTCAATTATACAAAATGCATGCTCTCATAGAACATATAAATCTTTTATATTTGCAATGTTTTATAGCATTAAAAATTTAAATATATTTTAGAGCGAAGTTTTTTTAATAGCTAACCTGAGCTGAAAGGTTAAGTGAGCTTTTCCTGTAACATTTTGTCCTGCCTTTGTCTGTCAATCAATTTGTAAACTTAACCAATTTTTAACTTCTTGTAGTGTTGGGGAATCGGAAAAAAATCAGAATCGATTATCGGTAATAATCGGCTGGGCATAATTGATTAATAATCGATTATAATCGAAATTTTGAACTTTAAAGAAATTAATATAGAAAAGTTAAAACTTATTCAGATTTCTGTCAGACTTTTACAAAAAAAACCCATTTACTTACATAAACTATTCAAAAATTTTAATTGAAATTTCTTTTTTTAAATTTGAAAAATAATATTTTGTTACTTAAACAATATAGGACTATTGAAACAGAATGGGAATTTATTATTTTTTTTTATAAAGTCCATGCAATGGGTATTTTACTGATATTAGTCCCACCTTTCATTTAATACATGTACATGTATTTATTTCTCAAAATTATTTTTAATTAGTTTAAATTGCAAGTTTTAAAAGTAATTATCCAGAAGTTAGACTTGTATTTATGATTATAATTACGTTTAAAGATTGACTAGACTAATTATGTTTTCCTCTGTATAGTAAAACCTTGCAATATTACCGTTTCCTTGTATTAGTCTAACCCCATATTCAATCATGGCGGTAAAAGTATCAACAAGACATGGAATCCTTCCATGTTTTCAACGTTCATCACCACTTTTATGCTCTTTGCACTTGGATTTGGTAATAAAATTAAAGTATGACAATTTTATTTTTTGTTAGCGATGTCGGCGACATTTATTTTATAATCGATTAGTAGCATCGAAGAGCTTCTAACGACCGACAATCGATTGTCGGCGACAATCGTTCCATCACTAACTTCTTGCCACAAAGCATTCTTTGTTGAGGAGAAATTTAAATTCAAGTGATCATGAAGAGGCATACACCCTCCTTTAAAAGGTGGGAGGGATCGATTTTTAAAAAGAATAGGTGAAAAAATATAATAACATCATAATTTTCTTCTCAATAGCAAATGAAACTTTTATGAGTTTCCTGACATAGTGTAGATTTAAGTTTACTAAAATCATGTTCCCATGGCTACCATTGTGTGGGTTGTGGCCACAGCAGGGTCATGATAAGTCTTAATGTGCAAGCATATAAGGTAGTGTAAATTCAAGTTTTCTTAGATCGGAGTCCCCAGGCTAATAAAGGAGATCATTGTGTTACAAGGAAATATGGTAAGCAAAGCCAGGGTTTCTCGGGTGAGCATTCTAGCCAATGTTAATGGGCCTCTAAATTATTTCCAAAAAGATGCTGTAAAAGTTATTCATTCTGTCTGCATTTATTTTTTTAACATCACCTATTTTTTTCAAGATTTATTCAAGAGAAAAACAAACGTTGGCAAAGTACGACAAAAGCTAAAAGCCATTGAATTTGAACATCAATACACGTACTATTTTTAAAAATAAACCAATAAATTTTATGTATGTGTATCATGTCAAGGTTCACTGAGTCAAAGGTCAAATATTGTGAAATCGCTCATTTTTGTGGGGGTTTAATTTTCGTGGTTTTTGAGGTATTAAGGGACCCATGAATTTCTGACCACCACAAAATGTAATTTTTGACAAATATATTACTACTCAATAATTCTTCATCCATGATATTAAATCCCCATGAACCCATATTTTTTTCCTCAAGCCACAAAAATCTGACCCAACTAAAATATGTGATTTACAGTAGCTATTTTATGATACCTGCAGCACAGGCCTTTGGATCGCTTAAAAAAAAATTGTGTGTGTAAAAAAAAAATAAAGGTACTGAACTCTTACACTGGGTACCTAATTTCGCTAATAAAATATTTTTTATTCTAATGCTCTAAAATTCTACTTTCTATTGAAATCTATTCATAGATAAACATTCTTCAATTCTACCAAAGCTCATTCCGAAATTCCATATATTTCTTGAGATATTCTGAAATCAATTTCAAAAATGACCTACTTTCTTTTACTCGACATTAGCTTGGGCCCCTGGTCATTCACATGTAAACAGACGGTGTTTGAAGTGCGGCGAAGAGTTGCAAAATATTTGCAAAATCTTTCAACAATTTAAAGTTGATTTCTTACTCCAGATTGTAACGTTAAGTCTGTAATAATATTCCTTTCGCGAAAAATTAATTTGAAAACGTCAACATCAACAACTACTTATGAATGTAAATGAAGCCATGGTAGAACGAATTTTTCCGAAATGCATTATATACCTTTCGATTTTCAAAACAATTAGACCGCTAAAATGTTGTTTGTAACTCAGTTACACCATATAATCAAATTAAAGAAAAACCTTGTAAAGCTTGAATGCAAATGAGCAAATATTCATTGAGTTTAGAATAAATTCCGGGGAAAATTTGTCCCGTCGTTCCCGCTTTACAATTAGTGAAGGCCCAAGCTGATGTCGAGTAAAAAAATTAATGTAAATTTGGGAATTGATTTCAGAATATCTCGAAAAGTATAAGGAATTACGGAACGAACTTTGGTAGTAATGAACATTGTTTATATTTGAATAGATATGGATAGAAAGTAAAATTGTAAAGCATTTTATTTAAAAGAATTTTATTGGCGAAAGTAGGTACCCCATGAAAAGAGTTCCATACCTTTATTTTTTTTTTCAACACCTCAATTTTTTTTCTAAGCGATCTAAAGGCCTGTGCCTGCAGTAATGTACCTCTAATAAATATTGGTAGGTATAGAAAGACCTTGCATCATATACTAGTAATTTAATAATAGATATGCCATGAATTAGATAACTTAAAAGTTAAAACACACACATGTATATAATCAATAAATTTATTTGAATTACATGTAAAAAAAAAAAAAAAAAAAAAAACATAAATAATCAAAGTTTACAGAGACAATGAATGTTGTCTTTAGGTAAGGCAATGGGATGTCCAGATTAATGTTTGTGAAGCAGCTAGGTTAAAGGTTTTGTTCCAGGTAAATGTTTTTGTGCAAGTCTTATTTCCAAGTAACTATGTACCGGTATAAGCCCTATGCTGATCAAACTTGCATGGACGATACACCGAAGGATCTAAGGCAAAGTCCCACATTAAGCTAATAATCTAGTAGTGAACATCCCAAGATGTAATCTAAATCCAGCATCTGAAGCAAGTTTGAGAGTGATTTTAGATGAATGCCTTGATGCATCACCCTTACCAAAGTAAAATTATTGCAGCAATATTGCTGCTATATTGCAGCAACATTGCGGCAACACATTTTTGTCACCAGAAACAAGCTTTTTGGGTTAGTGAAATATCACAGCTAGCTGCAACAACTTCTGGTGACATTCTGGCAATACTGCCAGAAAAAAACTTTCTGGCAACATCTAGGATTACCCATGAGCCATTTGTTGAGCATGCTCAGTCATTTACTTCCTCTTTTTAAATAAAGTGGAGGGAATTCAAAGGCAAGCATGTTTTGCTTCATTACTGACTTGTATCAAGTTAATTAGAGTTGTTAATTGTGTACAGTGGGATTAGTCAAGATGAGTAGTAAGACTGCATATGACTAGAAAAAAGAATTTAAGCAGAATTATAGGAATGTGTACTCTGTTTCCATATCATCAGACTTGGTGAGTCAAAACCAATATTCTTTTTGAGATGAATGATTCAATGGAGATAAAACTGGAAAAATTATATGTGTTTCAATTAGTGCTTGTGATGCATGCATACTAGACTTGTATGTCTATATATCCTAGAGTAGCAGGAAAAGATGAATTAAAGCATGTTATTTGAAAGTTAATGCAGAGTTGCTGGACATTTTCACAGTGGCATATTAATATTGTTTCTATTAACATTTTTTATGCGCCCGTCTCGATAGATCGGGGGTACATATTGTTTTTGTCCTGTCTGTTTGTTTGTAAACTTTAACCTTCACCATTACTTTTGAACCAATGAGAGATAATTTCATATTTGGTATGTCAACTCCACTAATTAAGTTCTTTCAAATGACATCAAGGTCAATGACCTTGTGACCTTGACTGTGACCTATATGCTAAAAATAGCTTTTTCGAATATTCATCATAACTTAAAATTAATGAAAGATAGAGACTTTATATTTAGTATGCATAATTCACTAATTAACCTTTTTCAAAAGACACCTGAAGGTCAATGACCTTAAGACCTTGGCTGTGACCCATATCCTTAAAATAGATTTTTTGAACCTTGGACATAAATCTTGAGCCATAAAAGATAGAGAACTTGTATTAAGTATGCACCCTTCATTAATTAAGCTCTTTCAAATAACACCAAGGTCAATGACCTTGAGACCTTGACTGTGACCATATACAATGTACTTGAAATAGATTTTTTGAAACTTCGACATAACTTTTGAGTCATAAAAGATGGAGAATTCATAGTTAGTATGCACCCTTCACTAATTAAACTCTTTCAAGTAACACCAAGGTCAATGACAATTTGACCTTTACTGTGACCCATATGCTAAAATAAGCCATTTTGATCCTCTGCCATAAATTTTGAACTATAAGAGATAGAGACTTCATATTTAGTATGCATACTCCACTAATTAAGTTCTTTCAAATGACACCAAGATCAATGACCTTGTGACCTTGACTGTGACCCATATGCTATAAATAGCTTTTTCATCAAACTTTATTGCCACCAGGTGCATAGTGTTTCACAAACATATCTTGATTTTCATTATGATGATCAACATAATTTTCTATCTGTTCAAATAGCAGAAGTAGCTATTTCTTATTGCCCCTGTGGCTTGCTATTGTTTGTTATATTCCTCAGCACAGTTTGTTAATTGTTAGATTGATAGATCATTATTTCTATTAAATACCAATTTATATGTAACTTACATACGAAAAATAACATTTCCGCAATATTGCGGCAAAAATGCCGGAAGATGTTGCCAAAAGATCAATATTTTGGTCATGATTTGCAGCAATATTGCCGCAACCCCTTTCTGGCAATATTGCCGCAAAACTATTTAACATACGAAAAACGATATAGCCGCAATATTGCGGCAATAATGCCGGAAGATGTTGCCAGAAGATCAACATTTTGGTCATGATTTGCAGCAATATTGCCGCAACCCCTTTCTGGCAATATTGCCGCAAAACTAATTTACATACGAAAAACGATATAGCCGCAATATTGCGGCAATGTATTGCCAGAATGTTGCTGCAATATTGCAGCAATAAAGCCAGAAGATTATCTGGAAAAGTATGTCAGATCCAGTATCTAAAGCAAGTCCACTTTTGTGCATCCTTTAAGATGCATCATCCGTGCAAGTTTTGTTTTTAGTTACTTTAGAATGAACCTGATCCAAAGACATTAACCTGTTTACTCATCCAGAAAATGTAGGTCAGATCCAGTATCCGAAGCAAGTACATTAGTATACATGCATCCTTGGATGTATCATTCATGTAAGTTTGGTCAACATAGGATTTATAGTTACTTGGAAATAAGACCAGTGTCAAAAACTTTAACCTGTTCACTCATTTGGAAAATGCAGGTCCGATTCTAGCATCCTAAGCAAGCCTGGTAGTGTGCATCCTTAGATGTATCATCCATGCAAGTTTCATCAGCATAGAGTTTATACCAGTACATAGTTACTTGGAAATGAGACTTGCATAAAAAACATTAACCTGCAACAAAAACTTGAACCTAGCTGCTTCACAAACATTAATCTGGTCATTCCATTGCTGATATTGCAGCATCTGAAACCTTGACTGGTACAACTGAAACTCAGTAGAAGCATCCTACATGCATCTCTGACTAATGTAGGGCAAAAACGTACTTAAAAAGAAATCGCACAAAAACTTTAACCTGGGAAGCCAAAGCAAACACTGACGCCAAGGGTATCATATTACCTCCCCACAATTTCGTTGAGTTGAGTTAAAAAGTGAAAAGACTGCATGTTACTTATTTCTAAACTAGTTCTCTGTGACATATGAGTGAAATTTATTTCTCAATACAATAATTGCCTATATTAACAGAAACTTTTATAGAATCCACATAATGAATGGTAATATGATAATCAAAGCAAGAGATTTGTTTTCTCGATAATTTGATCCACAATTTCAGCTGGAGGCACTTTGATGTCCACTTGGATACATTTTTCATCTATGGTTGGAATTTCTAGAGTAGCTAACTGAGAGTCTAGTAGAGAGGGCGGCAAGAAATGACCAAAGCGACTGTTTAATCTGCCCTGGATCACCGCCCTGTCACCATGTAAAAGGACAAACAAAATGTCAGGAATCGGATCCTCAGATGAACAACCATTTACCAAGACATCTCTGTATACTTTCTTTAGTGCTGAGCAAGTAACAACACCAGATTTCCCCTCTTTTGACAATCTGAAAAATGCATGTACATAGGTAATTATAAGTTCTGAGACTGCATAAATTGTTAAAATATGAAATGGGGTTATTGTTAAAGTTTGATTGACTACAAGTTGTTATTACATATAATTAGTTCTTAACTTGCTTACCCTTTCATGTACTTGTTTATTGCTAATAACCATGGAAGTCTATCCTATATCAGAAATAAAAGGATTTATCTACACTTAAAACTTGAAAAAAAAGAACATGCAAGAACAAGCTATACATGCAAGAAATAAATATTGTAAAAGTAGGTCATCTTTTAAAAAAATCTGTTTCATTGCATGCCCTCTCCCAACCAACTGGCAAAAAATGACATGACTCAAAACTTATTTTAACCTCCAAGGAACAATTTTTTTAATGCATTCTGGGAAAATTATAGATCTTGTAAATTCAACATTGATGTTGATATTTTTTTGGAGGAAAAAATTCCAGTCTTCCTAACATCCAATTCTTTTCATCCTGAGTCAGGAGAGGGCAAACAAACAATATTATAAAGTTGGCCTTATCTAGGTGTTTCAACTTCATAGCTCACCTGGTCAGTCAGAGGGATTCCATTAGACATTTTCTCTTTGTTTTCTTTGGAGTGAAACTCATCCGCATCTCTAAATGGCAGTCCTAGCTATAAGATAATATAAAGGAAAAAAAAATTAAGCTGATTCATGTTTCTCTCTCTCTTTAATGAGTTACTGTTTGTTTGTTTGTACATGTATATCTCTTCAAGAATTTTCACTTGTGTCAAGATGCCATAACTTGTCCACAGAAAGCTGCAAATTTAGACCTGTACTCCTCGTTTAGGGCCTTTGAGCAGTGGACATCAGTTAATATGATCCCATCAAAAGGATCTGTCTCCAAGTTCCATTTTGGAATTCCAACCCAGGACCTTATAAGAACTCCCTACTCCACAACTCTAGAGGAAATGCTGTAACCACTATCCCATGCAAGTGACCCATAAAGTTGATGCAAGCTAGGTATTGGCTTTCTATGCAAAAGAGCTACATGTAAAAAAATATATGAGATTTTCTCTGTTATTCTAAAGAAGGATTAAACTTACTTTTTTGAATATTCTTGGTACATATGCTCATATTGTGGTATTAATAGCATTTAATCCACATGAATTATGACATCATTGTTCTTTACCAGCAATTATTTTGAAAAATCTGATGAGCAAGACAATAATGTCACTAATTATTTAAAACTTTTTTTAAAACTCCGCAAGAGAATAAAGTATGTACGAGGGTTGTTCGGAAATTATTGAGACAATTACATTTACTCCATAAAGGACGGATGTAATTTCAGGAAAATTCATCTACATTTTATAAAGAACGAATAAAACACTTATGCAAATTTTCTATTTCCTATGATAATCAGAAAAGTTTCGGTGAAATAATAAACATGCATATGTCTATCGACCCGGAGCAGCATCACTACGTCATTTTAACATTACGTCAGCCACGGATGGTTTCGCATGTAAAACGATCGGAAAGCGTTTAATCTTTTTCCTTCTTTGTTATTACATATAACAGTACAAAAATCAAATAGTCTCTTGTCTTAAATTATTCCTTAAAAATGTTTGCTGTTGCTACCCGAGCGTAATATTTTCATTTGTGGAAAAAGATGACTTAAAATCATGCAGTGCCGATATATGCAACGCGGGTCAACGATATTCATACCGTAACGATATTAATACCGTACGTAACTCATGGTTGTCCAGAGCTTTTAATTTTACTCTGGTTGAATTAATTGAAAAAAAATGTATACCAATGAAATAACAAACCCTTACACATTATTTTTTTCTCGTAGTTATTATTTTAGCAGGTCATTGATTTTGGAAAAGAGTTCTACATTGCGCTACACAAAATTTTAGGTATGTTCGCTGCTCCGCCCTTGACGTCAAAATCCATTTTTTCGTTCTGGACAGATTTCTCTACCGTGCTTATTTTTTTTATGATCTCCATATTCCTGATCAAAATTCTATCAAAATTGCACAACATGAATTTGAATTAAAGCTGAAACATTATACATAAAAAAAGAATTATTTTCGCTATTATTATTGGTCCACAAAGAGTTAGAACGTGGGTGTTACATATTTTCAATACTGCAGTATCTGATTTCGAGACTGCTCCGGGTACCCCTACTGATGACGCATTTATATACCATTATACAGAAAATATTTAATATTTGTAAAATATTTTTTGCTTTTATAAATTCTTAATGTATGTCAAACGTATATGCAAATTTTTACCGAAAGACGTTCATTAGAAAGCAAAATATACACAATGTCTCAATAATTTTCGAACAGCCCTCATAATTAGATAAACACAAGATTTAATAATATTAAGTGCCATGAATATATGTACATGTACTCCAAAAATTGATAAAAATGCAGCACAAGTGTCAGTTCAATTCTTGGTACTACATGTATTTGTGGAGTTTTGATTTAAAGTGCAGAATCTACCATGAGTTTCTTTAAATTTTCATTAATGACACCTTAAAGGTACTTGGACACAGATTTGAAGTTAATATTTTCTCTA